AAAAACTTACACCCCTGCATCTACTGTTTTTCTTGTAGCTGTTTCAATACATCTACTGTTTTTACCTGTAACGCCTCCCGATTTTTAAAAATCGGACCTGGCAACTCTGATCCTGGTAGTCAAAAGATATGTCACATGGGCATATTTAAGTAGCTAAATTAATTAATTTTATAGTACCTTCATTTTATATTATTAGTAACCATAATAATATGCCATATCGTACTATACAACCAGATATATGACAAAGCCTGCCGACCATCCTGCGCTTGCACTTATTGAGCCACCATAAAACGGTTTACGGGGGCTGAAGAACTTGCAGTTGCCAATAGTCGACTCATCATACTTCGTTGTGATTGTGTGCTCCCTATCACTTGATTGATTTTTATCTCACACGCTTTGAGCATTAGAACACGATTATCGTTTTTGTCAATTAGTATGGATGAACTGGAATCATGTTTTCTCCGAAGCATGGACAAGCTCGTGTGATTTGTGGTCGCTCCGTTTTACATAGAAGACAATTTACTATAACAGACTGTTTGAAAAAACCCCAACCCATGCGGGGATTTTTGGATTCACTTTAGCGCGGCAGCATAATATAAGGGGGCAACCTTGCACCTTGTAAAGTACTCCCATAATACATGAGCCCTCTATGTACGGTCGAACTAACTAACTAAATTAATTCCCTTGTTTCATTAATGTTCATTCGTTATAATACTTATACCTATTTAACTTGAAATAACTAAAAATGGAATTTGATGCGCTTTGGCACAAATGATCATGACTATAATACCTTTCAAATAAATGTAGTTTAAGCCGTGGCGGACGTGGGTTTTACATACATACATTTTTGCCCAATGTCCTTTACAATAACACTTTGGAGTGAGAGTGTTTCCGACCCGCAACCTCATACTCCAACTGTACCCAGATTGCGCCCGTAATGTTAACTGTGTGATAAATGACATCTTGCTAAAAATACTTGATCTAAGTTAAATATGGTCGTTTGTTTGTTTTTACAAAACAAAACCGCTATCTTTTTTTTAAATCTTGAAAAACATATTTTTATTATTATCCATTGTATGTATGCACTATAAGAGATGTGACGTGTGTGGATAATTATTTATTAAAAAATAAACAAAATTACTAGGTTGATGTATACTTAATATAAGTAATATAAAATTGATGAATGAAATCATATAAGATTTAGCCATTACTGAATCTTAATTAACTAATGTAGATTGCTTTACTCCATTAAGTCTTATCAAGGTATTATTATTTATTAACATTCTAAAGTAATTTTCTTTTATTAAGTTATTTTTATTATATCAATTATTTTAAAGTTCCTATGTTCCAACTGTGGTTGATGTACGTTATTTGTACATTTTACGTATGTATTGTCAAATAGTAATTTTAAAATTACTCCCGTTTTCAAACTCTAATATAATGGTTGTACTATCTAAAATTTATCAAAAAATTTGGATAAAAATATAGTGTCATGCTTTGTTTACTTTATTTTCTTAGGCAGTTAAATAGTCACTGCCCGGTACAGTTTTAATAACGAGAGAATATAAATGGATGCCTACTGTTAACCGGTGCATGAATATTTTCCAAAAAGTACTATATCGTCAACTTGTTTGGCTGTACGTACATTGACAATTACAAAATCAAAAATAATAAATTAATTTTTACAGTGGCTATTTTTTCATTTACCGTAGTTTACGTTCCTAATAGATTTATTTCTTTACCTTTACCTTACATGTTTTACTTCAAAGACATGATTATTTTAGAAAAAAAAAATTCAGTAGCATGACCTGAAACTTTGAGTCAAATCCAAAAAAAATATAAATTTCTTTACAATATTACGTATTTCTTATTTCAAACTATTTGTGTACGTAGTTTAAAAAAAATAGATTTTTTTTTTGAACAACTTATGTCTACGTTTTTTTTTTCTTTTCACAGCTGTACTCATTCCGTCCGGGAAAGGGAAGCATCCACTGTTGCGCTACAAAAAGCAAAATTTCACATTCAAATTTAAATCGAGCAATTCAATTTTGTGGCACTGTTCGCGGCGGGCAAGGACTGGGTGTACGGCAATCATCAAGACCCACCGAGACTTCATGGACCAAATTATATTTGCTTCCGATCAGCACTATCATTATTAATGAGCAGTTATATTTTTATTTTAAGCATTCAACCACTGCTAGACATGTAAAATGTATCTTTAAAAAATCTACAAAAATCTCCATGCTGTTAATCTTGCCTTGTGATGCATGAACCTCGTGGTTTTTTCTAGTGTTTTTTTTAGATTAATGAGTTATTCTATGTTTATTTGCAAAAAGAAATTCATAGTACAAAACCATAACCTAAATTATCTATGTGGCAGAATTCGGTGCGAGCTAGTAGTTTGAGTAATATACATTTATGATTTTATTTATTTTTAAGCATTTAACTGCTAGATGTTTAAATCTAAAGAAAAGTTTACTAGAAAAACATCCACGCGGACCAGGCAGCGGACGGGACTCGAACCCGCATCCTTCGCAATCCGGGCGAATGCACTGACTTATACTAATATACATTTTTTTAACTTGTGCCTCCAGACGTCGATGAAGAGACATTATATTTTTATAAGTCGCGGCACGAAACTCTAGCGCTATTGCGCAGAAGTAAAAATTAAGATATCTTGGGGGGAAGCAGAGGTGCGCGGGCGGGCGTGAAGGGCCTCTACACCTCTAAATCTGGCCATGGTCGTGACGGGCTTTGATGTGATGGGAAACGTTCACATCTATATGACGCAGAACTGATGCCACGGTAATATTATCTATACAGTATTGTGACTCGGCCCCGTCCTTGAAATAACTGCCTACGCAAATTAAATTATGTAGGTATCTACTTAATTCAGTCAAATATTCACAATACAAACGTTTAAGCACGGCTAACTGCTTAAAAAACAATTCACACCGTTCGGTCGTCGCTGCCCACCGGGTGCCGCGCGAACTCGAGTGGCGTAGGTATGACCCACTTTCCAACCGTTTGTATGAAGATAGAATACTGTATAGATAATATTACCGTGCTGATGCCTTCTGACGCAACGTTGCAAAAACGTTACTTTTGGCCTAGTGGCAGTACCATTGCCTTACCAGACTCAAAACGTTACTTTTTAATTGCAAGAAAATATTAGATAAATATCATTCATTTACCAAATGCCAACTCTCGTTTAACTGAAAATGATAAGTGATTTCTTTTGTGATCTTGGTTCACTTTGCTGTCCATGGAAGGAGAGTATTCATTGGTAGTTAGAATTTAAAAAATAAATTCTGGAAGCTATTTGGTACCTTTAATCGGTATTGTATAGCTTGACGAGCTTTAACATTCCATAAATCAAATTCTGAACACAATTTTCCTAAAGTCTATAATTTTATAATAATTCATTTGTAGACGCAAAGAATAGCTCTTTAGCTAAAAGTAACAGTAGTAATAAGTAAAACTAAGTAGCATTTATTAAAAAGCATAATTATCATATCGATTATTATCGAATCATATATATGACTTTAACACTCATTATCGTCTTTTGGCGTACAAACAATTATTATGAATTTATTATCTATGGTGGCAGGCCTAATTATAGGTCGCCACTCTAACCTAACCTAACCTAACCCACTGACTACAAACACCAATTAAGCTAAACGAAATTGCGTAGAGTAATGTGGCCAAAGTTTATAAAACAAAGTAATGCTTATAAAATTCTGCTATCTTAAAAGCATGCCATTTTGAATTCGGGCATATAAACGTTCGGCGAAACAACAATGATGATTAAATATATAACTTACAAATATTCGTTTACAAAATATTAAGCTAAATGTGTTATTCCAAATGAATTTCGGAAAAACAAAGTTCTGCCAGATAGATGGAACCTAGTTTAACTCATGATAATTATGTAACATTTTATATTCTGATTATGATTTAATTCAATAAGTAAGTTTTGTAACTTTTGACTGATTTATAATAACCGTATATTTTTTACATAAATAATGTCATATCTTTGTTACACACATGCTTATTTTATAAAAATGGGTTTTGATAATGTCTCATTAAGTAGTATGTGATGTTCTTTGGTAGTCATTTAATAATTTTTAAGGAACATAATTATGTATTGGTTTTTTCAGTAGAGATTGTATAAATAGTTGTCTAGTTTTGGATGCGGCGAATAAGTTACAGATAACAACATTATGTTAAGTAATCACAAAGTTGTTCTCTTCAACTAATTTTCAACTACATATTATGTTTAAAATATTAAGGCTTAGTTTAATTAGAGTAATTAGACAATTTCTGGTGTCCTTATGTGTTGCTTTTCATGGAACCATAAAACTAATCAAGATATAGGCTCGTATTACAGAATGACAACTAAGTGCTGAACTGTACTCAAGTAAAGATCAACACTTAGTTGTCATTCTGTAATACGAGCCTAAGTCTCCCAAAATCTGATTTATAGGCGTTCTAATTGTTTATAGAATTTAAGACTGCATTCACTATCCGAGGAAAGAAATGTAGTTTCCTTTATCTTACTTACGCCCGTACGTAGAGACGTCAATTCACTTTTAAGTATGATAAAAGTTATTGCTGTCACTTTCTTTGCTTTATCAATAGAATAAGAGAAAACGTGACTTTTAATGGTATTACTAAATTTATCTATAATCTGCGTTAAAAGTTGCGCTTGACTGTGTTAAGTATTAAATAAGTTATAATTTGACTCATATAATTTTGTTATATTTTGATTTAAGCATTAGGCTGTTTGATTTGTAAATCATTAGAATCATGCACATTTTATTTTATTAACTGGAATAATAAATTTGTCTAAAAATATGGGATTTTTTCAAATTACTTTTAAACTTAAAGGTAGCATAGTCTTTTGTTTTGGTGACTGACAACCTGACTGTATTGGTAAGCTGATGGATCAAGAAAGACAACTTTTTCTTTTTGGTTTTTAATGTGTAAATTTTAATTTTAGGAATATCTGATTATCGGATGATACCTGGCCGTGTTCATCCTACTTTGATCTTGGAAGGGCATATGTATAAACGAGAAAAAATGCTTGTAAATGGCGACACATACTGGAGATGTCGTAAAAGAGTTTCTTTAGCTTGTAAAGCCGCCGCGAAAACTTTCTCTATAACTGGCCTAGCTAAGGCATTAGGCACACACAATCATGATGAATATGAATAAATATTTCAAGTTCTTCTGCCAAATTTATCTTTGATTATTTGACAATTTGATTATTTGATCCAGAATTACATTCTCTTTGGAATATGTGTGGTGCGAATACCAGTGTTGGATTGAAGAATAGATTCATATCGAAACGCCGTTGATTGAAATTATATGACGAAAAAGCTGAAACAAAAATGCTCAATGACACTCAATGAGATAGTGTAGACTATAAAGAGAATTTATGAAAGGATATAGAGGAAAGTGGTTTATAGAGCGAATTTGACTGACAAGTCGACAGACAAAGTCTGCGGATAATGTACACCAGCCAAGTCAGTGGCATTTAAAAAAAGGACTGGGTGAAAAAATCCATGAACCAGTTTTGTATGCAGCGACTAAAGATTGTAAAGTAAGGACTTAACACTTTAGTGTGATCGAATGGAGATGGACTCTGGGAAAATGGGCATGATCGCCATTATGTTTAATCATATCTATAAACGCGAAGTTTGAAAATTCATTCGTAGTATATTTCTAAGAGACGACTAATTCTTTTTTGACAATAAAATTACTGCGAAATATAAAAATATGGTAGATTATAATACTGTCTTCATAATTGGAAACATAGTATATTTTATATTATTTCGGACCTGGATCGAACTCACTTCTCTGTCTGCTGCAACTCTTTAGTATTAGCATAGTCAGACCAATCCCAAGCTCTGCCTCGTAGATTTTCCAAGTCCTTTCCTTCGCTATAATTTTTAGAAAACTAAATCAGTCATCCAGATATTTTAATAAATTCGTTTCATTGGTATTATAACACCGGTAAAACTTGCGATATTTGTTGTATTAAATTAAATTTCATTTTGCGAAGATCATCTTTTTCTCATTTATAAGCGCTTCCACTACGTTTTTCAGCTACAGTTTAAAGAACCTTTAGTTTCTGGTGTCTCTTACTTATAATTCTGATATTCTGAAAACCATCATGCCTTTTTATTTTCGTTTGTTTTGCAGCGATTCGTACCTTCGAAATATTGTATGGCCATCTAACGCCAACTTTACTTCTACAAGATTACACGTACAAGCGTGACAAACGTCTTCGGAATGGTGACACAAAATGGAGATGCTCAAAGAAAGGATCAACGTACAACTGTAAGGCCACTGCTCGAACTATATTTAAGACAGGAGAAGCTATTCAAATAGGTAAACATAACCATGAGAAACCGAAATTAACAATGAAGTGCTAAAGACTATATTAGACAGAAGTTGACAAAACCTTCTGTAAATAAAATTTTGCAAAAGGATGAACACAGCACCGACGCTGTTCACACGAAGCTATATTTATTGTTGAGCAACATTTATTATTCTAAATGTACGAAGCTATATTTATTGTTGAGCAACATTTATTATTGTAAATGTACCTATCATTTCTTATTGTCAAATCAATCAATGTTAAAATCAAATGTCGTTTACATGAAAGAAGTAATTACAGAATATTTGAAGGACAAAATGTAATTTTCTTTTTTACTGGCTAATAGGAGAACTGCAGTGGTAGCCACTCACCATCCTGCCGCTTGATCAAGTTCCTGGGCTTGATCAAGCCAAACTAAACAAAGTTATGTTTATACATTGCAAAAAGTTACTGTGACAAAATGGTTAAAAAATTAATGTTTGTATGGAAAATCTGTTACACTTTTACTTTCATAACAACACAACGCTGGCTACTAATTCACTAGTACACTACTCAAAATACTATTATATTTAATACTACAATTCACAAGGATAATCAAGTTACCAAAAAACTTTAATTTTACAGATATATTTTCTGCTGCAACAATATATACTGGCGGTGCACACCCCACGTTGATTTTATACGGGTACTCGTATAAACGGTGTAACGTTCATTTAAATGGTGACATTAAATGGAGATGTGCCAGAAAAAGTATGAACTGCAAAGCAACTGCGAAAACTTTCAGCGAATCAAGACAAACACTAGTAATCGGCGTACATAATCACGACAGGCCAATAAGGTACAAAGGCTATTCGAATGGACTTTTGACGGGGACATAATTAAATTTTACTTTGAAAAATATGAAACGGTCAGTCTGCGTAGGGCCGAGCGCACTTATATACGCCAATCGACGCATCTCAGAAAAGTTCAGTACAATTGAGAGTTTGCACAAAAATGTTATGCTATGCTACCACAAGTTATGAGTAAATGCCAAGTGAATGCATTCGACGCATTTAGGTATAAGCAAATCAGACCTTATTCATTTAATCTCAAAAGGTTCTTTTTTTTTCAAAGCTTGTACATCCTGAAATCTATAGGATCATCTACTACTACTCATGTCGAGTCTAGTAACACAAGTTACAATTCATCTTTCACTTAACTCATTACCTATACATTTTTAATTACAGTTGAACAATTTGAAAAAAGTGTTTAACGATTTTTTATTATTTATTTGTGCACCATGTGCAACTGTACGTCTGACTTGCGCTAGTGCGCTACAGGTTGTATCAACATAAACTTTACCCCCTTATTACTCTGCTGCTACCAGGCTCCTAAGTAAGAGAAAATGTTATTTACATTGCCCCTGATTTCGATTTCAGGCCCAATTTTCACCAGGTACGAAATACTACCAGGCCGTCTCCATCCAATTTTGCTTTTAAATGGATACTCCTTCAATCAAGACAATATTCTTCGGAACGGTGACGTAAAATGGAGATGCAGTAAAAAAGCCTTTGGGTGCAAAGCTACCGCAAAAACACTAACAAAGAAAAATGTAGCCCTTGAAATTGGCGAACACAATCACATAAAAATTTCCTTATTCTAGTTGATTATACGAAGACACCTCGTGATAACTACTATGTGGTGTATTTTACCACATGGCGTTTAAGTATAAAATGCAATCATTATATAAACTATTCACGCTGTGCCCTACATAACATCGTTAACAGGCTTTTGGACCGTAGTTATTTGAAGCATATGTATATAAATTATATAGATTTAATAAATATTAACGTAAACTATGAGGTTTTAAACAGCAATAGACGCCTGCGTTTTCATAGCGATTTTCTCGTTGGTTGTAGAAGAGCCCAAAAGAGAACTTAGATCAAATGAAACATTCTTATTATAAAAGAACATACTTAAACTTAAATATGTATGTAGTATATGTATTCTATCCGTTACCCTAGTATCCCATATCACAGGACTACAGTGCTTACTTTGGGACTAGGCTAATTGGTGTGAGTGTTGGAAACAACGATATTAAATAACCTAGATATACCATGTCCGCTCAAAATGTGTCCCAATCAAGAAGTGCTTGAACTCACTCAAGCACTTTTTGGTTCATAGTCACGCACAGACCGTTGAAAAGTTAACATGCCGCAGAGCTCCGTGAAATAATGCGAAAAAAAAGCTATGAAAGTATCTAAAGTATCGTTTTTCCGACAGGTATCTAATCAATGTTTGTTAATTTAATGCGTTTGAAGCAAATTTTGTTCTAATACTTACTATAAACTGATTTAATAGAAAATATTTGTGATATTGAAATGCATGGTCGGTTATATAGCCGTCTCTTTTCCTCGCGGTCCGTACCTGCTGTATTGCTAATAGCACATTCAGAATTGCGCGCGCAAAGAAATAAAGTCTATATTCTTCCGCATATAATAAGTCGTATAATTTAACGAGCTTGCATTTCGAACTGTCATAACTCTTTGACGCATGCATTTTAATTAAGACCTTGTACAGTTGCATTAAAGGTGACTTTCAATGTTTAAATAATGCCTTATATTGTTTTTGACAACGCGATCATCTTACAGAACTCCGTAGATCATCCGATGTACCTCTTAGACAGGTTTCGGGCACGATTTTGTTCGTGTTGGTGTATCAAGGGTATTTAACATCGTTGGTTGTAAATATTTATTTATTAATATTATTTGATCTGAATCTTAGGAATCTACGAGAGGTTTTTGGGATTAACTCGAGCATAGCAGATCAAATGATAGGAGGTTCTTTGTACCTTGTTGAGCTCCTACATCTAACATAAGCGTCGCGCGTGTAGCATTGTCGATCAGTAGAATTTAAAATAATTTTATTTGCAAATTTACGTCAGAAACCAACGAAAAGCATATTTTCACTGCAAGATTAAATAAATCTCCAACATTGGTCTTATTATGAACCATTAAGATCGAGACATCATGCTGAACTGCCTATGAATATTTAATGTGCCTGAGAATTCCAAAATGAAGAAGTATAATTTTATTTTCTGCCCGGATTGCGGTAGGTTCGTATTCTGTCTGAAACCTGTGTCAAAAAATATTTAAGTTTTATTGAATTTTCTAAATTCCCAATGAGCTCGCGCATATCCGCATCTTCAGTCGTCCAGCTGAATGTTTGTGAAATCTTGGTCATAAGTAATGCAAAATGTCTGAATCACTTTATTTATTAAATATCTGTAGCTATAGAGCTAGGGAATCAGGCGGTTGATTTTCAGTAAATATTAAAAAAACAATTTCATTTCTTTTAGACATAAAATATTTACCAACGGGAAAGAAACATCCTGTAATGGTGTTCGACGGTTTCGTTTACAAACGCATAAAAGTAAACAAGTCAGGAAAGGTGTTCTGGAGATGCGTATTGACCCATAGAGGTTGTAAAAGCTACTGTCTTGTCGGTGAGGACCAAGTGGAATGCACCCATGAACACAATCACAAACGACCTAAATGCAGAACAAAGACGGGACGATGGGAAATTCCAGATCTGTCTTGTCGGTAAGGACCAAGTGAAATGCACCCATGAACACAATCACAAACGTAAGTACTAAATGCAGAACAAAGACTGGACGATGGGAAATTCTAGATATGGAAACTTAACCATAGGAGTCTAACGATTTTATTACAGGTCTTATTTATTTGAAATTTAATAAATTAATAATAATTTATTAATAAAGAACTTTATTTAAATATATTTTTAAATTAAATGGATTTGAAAATTTTAATATCTCTTTTAATAAACCAAATCCGCCTTATTACAAAACATAGATTTAAGTTAAACCTGAACTTAAACTGATGTTGTCACTTCTATTTGTCAAAAAGAAGACAGAGACACCATTAGGTTTAAACTAAGACAAACTTTAGTCCGCGTTTTGGAATAAGGGCAATGTGTGTAATACCAAAATTGTTCTTGAGAGTTTTTTTAGGGTGGGCTTTATTAACTATGTCGCACGCATTTCTATTGGCATTGAGGTCTAAAATTTTGTAAAAATATTTGTACCAACTTGCCAGGTGCCTATTACCCTGCATTCAACAGATAGTATAATACTTTAAGATTCGAATTATTAGTAACTACTATTTTTATAAATTGCATGGAAGTAACTAGTAACTACACATATTCGATTGATGAGAAACTTGTAAAAAAATCGTTTTCATTTTAGTGCAACTGTTGCCGTTCGGGAGGAAATATCCTCTATTGATGGTCAACGGGCACACGTACAAGAGATTCTCGAAATTGCATTCTGGCAGGATACTTTGGAGGTGTTCCAGCATCATGAGGGGGTGCAAAGCCAAAGTAATCTCCAAGAATGAAAATCCTATGATGGGATTGGAAGTTCACTACGCTGAACACCACCACCAGCCACCGAAATACTATAAAACTGTAGATGGCACTTGGATTAAAGGAGCGATAGTCGATATTTGAAAACCGGACCTAGCTGAGACATGTTTTGAGCCAGAGACTGTTTTAAGACTGTGCAATTCGCCTAATGCTTGTAGGTACTGCAGAGTGCAGTGTGTAAAATAAATATGATACTTCAATGATTCTTGCATCAACATTGCAGAATGTATATATAGGAGATAATATTATTCAAAAAAAAGAAATATACGATACTGCACCTTATACATTTTGGACGGGTAAGAAAATAGAAGATAGTGATATGGAATTTTTGTGGCATCTCTAACATTCCACATATATTTTGACAAAAATGTAAATAAAAAAAATACCAGAAAAAAATCCACACGGACCAGGCAATAGACGGGACTCGAACCCGCACCCTTCGCTATCCGGGCGAAGGCACTGACCATTTTGCTACCGCGGCCCTGATGGCCGTGTCGAATTTTCTCTAACCTTAGGCTGCAAGGCAGCGCCATCTCTTCGCATTATAGGTAACCCACAATGCCCGTCTGCTGCCTGGTCGGTGTAGATATTTCTTCTAGTTAATTTTTTTTTTAGATTTAATCATTTAACAGTTAAATGCTTAATAAATAAAAATTATAAAAAAGTATAATTTACTAATGTTATGATGTGGCTATTGAAATAAAGCTAAAATGAATTCTTCCTGTTCTCGCGCTGCCTCATCTTATGCCTTGTAGGTAAACCTAGCCAGAAATGCATTGAGTGAAAGTTTGGATAAATAGCCATAATATATTTGTATCAACAATATTAAGTGCAGTGTTCAGCAACCAAAAAATCAACAAAACAAAAAATTGTTTAAAACAGATTTATTAAACCTGGTCTTTAATGATGAAAGTTTCAATGTATGCAATCCAAAACACACAAAGGACGACAAAATCTAAAATAAGTTTTTTTTTATATTGTGCCATACCTGTGTCTGGCCAGTCCTACGTGGGCACCATGACCACACCCGTCTTGCATTCTGGGGGTCTTAGTCGTCGAAATGCGTGTGAAGCATGGTGCCAAGTGCAGGAATATTGTCAATATCATCATCACCAGCCTATTAATGTCCTCACTGCTGGGGCACAGGCCTTCCTTATGGATGGAATAGGGAGATTGGGCCATGACCCACTACGCGAGCCCAGTGCGGATTGGTATGTGCCAACGACTGCAGATGTAGCCGGAACCAACGGCTTAACGTGCCTTCCGAAGCAAGGAGGAGCTCGAGATCGTAAATTTTTGGTCACGCATCCAATGACCGACCAGTGCGAAAGTTGCTTAACTTCAACGATCGCAGCCGAACGAGCACCTCAATTGTCAATATAGTTTGTGGATTTAGTGGGTCATTCATTTAGCAGAGTCTTTGAGGTGGACGAAATAAGCGGGAAGGAGTCCTCACATATCCTAGTTACAACTTCCGAGGTGACCAGGAAGGCATCACGCCTTTCTCAGACAAAAAGTTGTAGACAGATATAATGTACATTTACAATAATATGATATATACCTAAAATGTGCAATGTGTGTCTTGTTTGTCATGGTGAATATCTACCTTACTACTGATATTTTTAAATAGCTGAAAACTAATTTTAATTAAATTGATTCAAATCGTGCGTAATATTATGATTACTGCAGCAAACTTAATGTCTATATATATATATGTTCTCCTAAAAATATATAAGAATATATCGATATATATTTTTAAACGAAAAGATGCAAATTAAAGAATTTTTATCGTCGTTTACGTTCTATTTAGTGTGCTATATTAAACTACCTATTATTATACTTATGGTAAACTCAATAAAGTAATGTATGAAATCAGAGAGTTCATTACTTATTCTTTGTTTCTCAAAATTAAAAAGCATAATAGTATTTCAAGAAAATTAAAACAAATTGATTTAGTTTATTAACCATTAGCTGAGATTCATTAAAGCCTTTTTTTCTTACAGGATTTTACAGAACTTCCGCGAGGGGTACAAGGCAACTGGTGGTCGGAGGCTATGCCTTCATCTGCAGAAGCTACTGTCTCCATCACATCAAGAAGACTTGGAAGTGTGCCACACACGCTGACTGTACTGCTAAGGTGCACACGGTACAAGACGAAATCATCAACTTAAATAACGATCACAACCACTCAAAAGGCGTCCGCCTAAAATTAGAGGATTGCATAGATCTTCTTTATTGATGTACAAACTTATTTTTAAAAATAAATTGTTTTATTGCCATCATGTGATTTCCCTTCGCTATTTGTACAGTGATATTGGTGTCAGATCAGTATAATAAATCATTTTGGATGGGGTGATTCAGAAAAAACACTCGAGCTGACTTATAAAGGGAGTTAATGAAAAAATACTATAAGAATGGCTTATATTATTTAGTAATATAATAACACCAATCACAATGTATCATTTATTTTATTGATTTACATTTACCTACGGTGTAGTATCCTTACTTTTTAAAAAGTTTAGATATAATTGAGTTATTTTTTTCTCATAAGTTTCTTACTTAGAGCATAAGATAAATAATGACGCATATCTGCTCATAAGTTATAAATTAATGACACTTATTTACCAGGAGTAATAAGTAACAAAAAAAACATGGAATGAACATCGATACAAAAGTGCTTGAGGTGGTAAGGCAAGATGGGTGCAGCATCAGGGTAATAGCTAAATCTTATAGCATTTCTTAATCGAGGCTAGGGAGACTCGTCAAGGAAACTAAAGATAACCTTAAGAATTCTACATACTTGTACTTGGAAGATATATGTGAATAATGCGTTGCCAAATAAAACTAGTAAGAGTGTGTCTACAATACTGTGATATAATTCTAATAAAAAGAAGAAACAAACATATTATTTTATTAACTTATTCATAGTTAAATGAAAATCTTTTTGAATTACTAATTATAACTTGATTTTGTTTTTGGAATATTACATTTTTGGTCGGACTCGCATAGGAAGGGTTTCATCGTATTGTTAGTAAAATTTGTTATAGTTATAGTCATTTGCAAATACGTTTTTGTTTATTAAAAATACAGCAACGCCTTTAATTTTTAGTTATTTTATTATCTATAATAATAATAACAGAGGCAATAGAAATACATGTTCTAAGAAAATGTGAACCATCTACCTGTTACAGTTCAAGAGGTATAGACATAACCACTTGCAGAAAATGGATGTCATTGATGCCCTTTGAATTAAAAAAAAATCATCAAGGATCTTACTTATATCTCTATCCATCCAGCCATTTTCACAAACCACTTCAGATACACTGTTCGTCTAATGTCGTTTAGGCTTAACTCTCGAAACGGTGTGGGAAAATACTTGCGTATCTATGCTCTTGAAACATTATGCAGCTAGCTGCAACTATAGTCATATTTATCTTACCGATTTTTCCTGCAGGTTTTAGTATTCATTTCACGCAGTCCCAACGCGGGCAACCATTGCTCAACCTGGGTGGTTACTCGTTTCATAAACGAAAACAATCTGGTCCCACGGCGCGTTGGATGTGCACCTCCTATTACACCACACAATGTCGTGTAAAAGTAAGAACCATTGACAACACCGTGGCAACCATCAGAGGCGATCACAACCATTGAAAATATAATATTTTTTGTTATTGTCTTTGTATACACGAATGAAATCTAATAAAAACTGTTTTAAAATTTAAGTTTTTCAGTCTTGAGTTTTGTAAAACTCACGCGAATATCAAAAGGACTGGCAATTTTATTAACAAATAGATTTTGTTTCTTCGCGTTCCTCTAAACGTTTATTTCAACAATAACCGTTTTGCTCATATACCAATGGAACTAGAAAGGCACAGCATTTTCTTAGATATTGTTAATTCCTCCATTATGTCAATTCTAGGTTTTATCAAGTACTGCAAATGTATTCGGAAAAGTGAGAAAGGCGAATCTAATTAACATGAAAAAATCTCGTTGTGGTTTCTATCACTAAACCTGATACTGTTTCAATAAAATTCTTCGACTTTATGATTATTCGGCATTTATTTTCAGATTGCAATTCATTTTTTTTCACCGAGTCCCGTCGCGGTCAACCTGTTCTTAACTACAAAGGCTATAAGTTCAACAAACGGAAGCAAAATGGCCCCGTCACGGCTTGGATGTGCACCGCTTACTACACTATGCAATGCCAAAAGCGAATCAGAACGATAGATGATGTCATAGCTAGCGTCAAAGGCGAACACAATCATTAATTTGATTCGCGTTCTTGATAGGTAGTTATTTTTATATCCATATAAATTAATTAAAATTTATTTTGAAAAAGTACAGATTGTGGTTTGTATTTTTGAAATTCAAGAATTCAATGGTCATTATATTTGAAAGTTCTCTTTTAGCGACCTCTACATGCTCCACAGGTACATGTGAAGTGTATTTCACGAAGTCACAACGAGGGCAGCCTGTTCTTCATTTGGACGGCTATACATTTAACAAGCGAAGAAGGCGCGGTCCTATCGGCACTTGGATGTGTACCTATTACTATTCTACGAATTGTCGCGCGAAAGTCAGAACTCCTGATATACATACACCGTTAGGTTATATGGTAGGAACACACAACCATTAACGTCAACACGATGTAGAAAAAAAATAAAACGTCTGCACACAGTTTTAACATGTTAAAACGTATAGTTCAAATCGAACTAATAAAATTATGTCCAATAAATATCTACTGTTTTTGTTTTCTATCGCAATGATTAGTAACGATGTGTATTATGTAGCAATATCATCTTTTATAAGTTGCCAATATGACAAATACAAAATTCTTTAAAGATATCGTTCCTAGGAAATAAAATTCTTTATAAAGAACATATTCAACTATTCAACAAAATGTTATTTACATTAATAACTGTATGTATATGACTTACTCCACAAATTTTTCCTACAATTTTATAGGCAAAATTATAACAACTGCGAAAGGAGGCAAAGTATTGCTCCTTGGGGGACACCGATACCATATGGAATATGGCAATGACGTCACCAGCTACTGGAGGTGCACTAAAAGAGGATCAAAAGCCTGCAAGAGCAAAGTTCGGATCGTCCATGGACGAATTATGGTTTGGGATAGTCACACACATCTCTAGGGAAAACGAGTACCTTTAGTGCCGTCCACAAATTTAGTAATCTTCAGACAAACGGCATATCAGCGTAGAATCAATTATTCTTCAAAAAAAAATGTTTTTCTCTATGCATGTATATTGTAGAAATAAAATGGAAAAATGGGGAAGCACATACTCTTATTTTTTTAAGATATTTATTTTTGAAAGAAAAACTATAAAAATGTCAATATTTTGGGACCAAATTAATAATTAAAGACTCGTTACTCATTTATTTCATAATCACAGTTAATGCTGCACACTCTTTGTCATTATTAAAATAAAGGCAATGGGTAAGTCTTTTTGACAGACATTACATTTAAATAGTATCTTTGAGTAGGTACTGTCATAATATTTTAAATAAATTACTATAAATTAACGGTTTGCCATACTTGTCTTGGAATAAAAGCATAAATTCCGATTATGCGGGATGATCGTATATCATCTGCAAAAAAAAGGTATAAGTAATATTATTGTTACCTCTTTTGAAACTATAAATGGCGATAGGTATTAAATGTTAAAATCTCATAACGTCTCGTTAAAAAAATCATTTACTTTGTGAAAGAATGTTATATCGTATGTGTTACTTTTATAAATTATTAATAAAATATTCATATCAAATGTATCGTTTGATTTTTACTGAAGCACGTGAACTGCTTAATAATTATGATTTCCTTTCATCTTACAAATGAGGACGATAAGTACTGAACATTTCAGCTTCACCATAAGTCTTCGCAATTCGAATTTTAGTTACATACGATTTTTATTGCAATTTTATTACGAAAATTGTGGTACAATACCAATGTCATAAAACCACTTTACCGAAGGGGGAGGTATTATACCAAACCTAGATGATTTCAAGAACTTCGGTGATAGAAAAAAAGGATTTCGCAGGATTTAGAGATGCATAAAAAATGGCTAAAAATTGTCCTGTCATGATCTTGACGATAAATCAAGAGATTGTGAATATCCTGAGTAAACATAACCACTCCATGGAATAGTGAATCAAACAAACAATCTATTATTGAATATATCTAAAACTGGCTACTATGTTTTACACTCGAAAATCACAAGATTCACACTAACTAGATGTTGTCTCCATTCACTCAATATTTTGTAAGTAGTCTCAATAGTTAGATAAAGTAGAACTAGAAGTATTCTACGCATTGTAAGTATAATAATGTTTTTAAATCTCATTTTATTAAATTATTACAGGTGATGGGTGCATGAATGTTATCATTAGTGGAGTTTCATCACAAGCTAACAACGATAACTTTTCTGATGATGATGTCATAGAAGTTGTTAGAGACGAAGCGCCTATTGAAATTCTTTCAGACGGGGAAGAGAGAGAACTCGAAATGATAAAATCGCAACCTACAAGTGTCATACAAGATTTTCATTTTACGTCAGTTCCCACGATAGTTGAAACACACTCTGAAAATATACAACGTACTGATGCAGCGGATATAGAGGATCCTCTTCGAAATATTTCTCTTGATGAGAAAACAGATGTCACTAATGTACACGCAAATAATTCCAATTCCATCGTGTTCGAACAACCTTCAGATGCAGATTTCAACACGAATGATAATAACATCCAAACAGATGATCAGACTGATAAAATTTCGGTAATAAGCAGCACTTTGCAAAATAACTCAGAATTGAATGTGACTTCCGAAATTGAAAACACTCCTGATTGTGATTCTATTGCAAAAGAAAAAAAAGATATCTGCGACACCGTGCCTGAATCTAATGATATTATCAATGATGACAGTCCGAAATAAGAGCAGAAAAGCATTTTCATAAGTTTTTAATTATTACGCAAAAATATGTATTTTGTAGAAAGCGCTTCATTGAAATATTTTATTACTAAAATAGTAATCAAATTCAAGCGTTTAATTTAGCTTAAACTTAAGTTTGTGTGAACTTTTCGTTACTTGGTAATTCCTTAGTAAAGTTTTCGAGAACCAATAAAATGAATTTAACCTACAATATTATTATTAACAACCACATATAAATTACTTCTACAAGTGTATTAAATACTTGAAATTAATACAATATTCAACTATTAAAATATTTTAATATTTTTAGTACGTCACCGGGCACCGTTATTGCCTATGGGCAGTTTGGCTGCTTTCGTGGATGAAAACGGGAGGAAAGTTCTGATGATTGGGAGGAATCGATTCTTGAAGCACTACGTTCGCAAACCCGGCAGGACTAGGTGGAGGTGTTGTAAATCTTACAACAAATGTCGAGCTATAGCTATTACTGATGATCATCTCATTATTAAACTAAATGACTGTCATAATCACGAATAAAATTTGTAAAGTATTTTGCTTCAGCTCTAACTGGTTTTAGGCATAGGTTTTAATTAATAAATCTCTGAAACTTATCGTTTTAGGATCATTGCCTTGCAATCAGTTTATTCCAATGAATCAGTTATTACTACGACTGCCTAAACAGGAGTATTTTATTATGTTAACATTATTATTACTCTTACCATAATCGAGTCAGTGCCATATTGTTTATTGCAATTAAGAACGTTCCTTAAACATAGTTGGTTTTAGCTTTGCCTTTGTTCTATGATGAACTACCCTACTTAGATCCTAAAATTAAACTTTAATCTTGATTTTGGAATCATTACCATATGTGTATTGACATGTGTTCGAAAAAAAATCAAAAATAGCATAGTAAAAAATGACCTGATTTATTATTCAACTTTATACGAATCCTTAAGGTTTTGCAACGCGTTGTTTTGAGTTTCTGTTTGTCTGTCTGACTTTTTCAATTCATCAATTTCAAATCAACACGTCGATTGTATCATTTTAGCGTACATTATAAATAAATATTTTTAATGCTCACACCAATTAGCCCCAAAGTAAGGCTAAGGCTTGTGTTAAGGGATACTAGGGTATAGAATCAGTAACGAACACTTATTTGATACATATATACTTATATATGTATCAAATGAAGGGAAAATATATTATATATGAAGGGAAACGACGTTGGGAAGGGAAACACTTGCTGTTTCGTTTGACATCTCAAAGGCTTAGGGTTTGGCATGCAGATCTGCTTAGCAAACTTACAGCGTGCGGCATCCCTGCTGGCTTTTGTAACTGGGTAGCTGATTTTCTGAGTAAACAGTTCATCAAAGTGGTCATTGATGGCTGTTATTTTGACCTTATGGCTCTTGACGCCGGCGTTCTTCAGGGGTCTGTCTAACTTCTTAATACCAGAATTGGTTGGGCATTCGGATGACAGTACTGTCGCGAAGAGATACTTGTCTGGTGCGGGAGCCATTGGAGAAAAGTTGTAACTGATAAGGGACACCATGGAAACACGTACGGACCTGAAGCTGGATTACGTCTTCCAGTGGAGGGAGAGTAATCTCGTCACCAAACGCTTCTCAAATAGTTTTATAATGTGCACAGCAAAGAAGTGGAATTGCCTGCCTGCGTCTGTGTTTCCGAGCACACATATTTTAAATTTCATTCAAATATTTTACACCTCATCCAGGACAGTAACAAAAATATACCAAAACTATTTATTTTTACAATTATTACTTATTTAAAACCTATGCCAAAATTAGCAAGATCTTGACTAAAGCCACGTTGTTTCATCTGAAGTTAAATTTGACTGTAGTTAAAATACTAGAGAAAAAATAACCATTTGTCAAAATTTTACACATTTACTATGTATCTGACGGGGGTTAGTTTTAACTTTCGAATAAATAAAGAGGCCGAAACTGTTATTTACGGTAATAGGCAGGTCCACACAGAGCGAGCAGCCTCGCGAGGCAGCTCGGTTAGTGTGGATGTGCCTCGGTCGAGGAAAGCGTGCGCCCTGCCGCGGGCTAGCAAGCGAGCCATCTAGTGTCGGCTTTTTGTTTTGCTCAAAGGCGCCTCAGTCATTTGCCCCTCGCAATCTGAACGCTCCCGTATTTTGCTTCGTGCCTCGCTCGAGCATAATAATTACGAATAAAAATCAGTACCTATTTGAAATTATATCTCTCTATGATGTAAACATCTGGCTATGGAATGCAAGTGATCCTTATTTTACAAGTAGAGGATTTAGGGAAGATTTTCTAAACCTATTTATTTAAAAGGATAAAAGCAACAATTGCCACCGCAACACGTGTGGTGCCATGATGTCCACACTAACGGTGCTGCCTCGCTCTGTGTGGACCCGTCTAATGTTTAATTTTACCGTGGATATAAATTGTTATAATTTATTTACAAACTGAGTTTCCTACTCTACATTATAAGTTGTAAATAGATAATTTATAAATTAATAAAACGAATATTGTTAATTACTTGCTTTTTTATTTCTCTCATATAAATAGCAAATAGACTGACGATTTGTAAATGTTACTTGGCCTATTCTAGCATAACTCCAGACCAGAATTATGGCCACTACCACAATATCGTCACCAAATTACAAATCAATATAACTGTATGGCTTCAACACTTCACTGTACTGTTTTAAGTGTTTTTGCTGGGGATGTTTCACCAAATAATCGGGGATTATGTAGTTCCAAGTTCGCTAATACTACATTTTTGTCTACACACAACAAAAAAAGTTTGAGATCGCTTGCAAAAGCTGATATAACATTATCTGATATATCATTCTTTGGTATCGAACCACTGTAAATTACAAACTAATACACTGTATTGAACAAAATGACACTGATCCAGTATGTGAGTCCTTGATTACTAAATCTGTTCACTCGGAGACCACAATTAGTTGTAATTCTTTTAAGCAGAATAACTGTTATAAGTATATTATGTTATGTGACGAATTTGGTAAAGATTTCCTTATTACAAAAACAGCTGGGTGAAAGCACAATTAATTACTGTTTTCCAGGTGCATCAATTAATGAGGAAAATATTAACTCTGGAACTTGACAAAAATACAAGTTGAATTATTTTAATTGGTAATAGAGGTTTATTTTTACTCTACTCTTTTGTTCATTATTACCTACTATAACACTCTGTGTACTTTAAATGTAAACAGAATAGTTATGTTTACATTTCCATATAGTAAGAGTCTATCAAATGAAGAAAATAATATTAGGTATATCCTAAATTTGACATTAAGTACCATGTTTTAATATAGTGGCCAAATAATACATTTAATAGATAATGGTCCTGATTCTGGCGTGATTCTCTAAACTTAAAACTAAATTTAACATCAGTTTCTCCTTTTGGTTCTGTAAAGAGAATGACAAGGATATACTGCTGTCAAATTTAAGTTTAGGTTTAGAGAATCATGCTAGAATCGACACCATTAATAAATTAATATATATTTTTAAAATGACAAGAGATAAATATTATCTTTCCTATTACAATAAGAGACAAATAGCTTCTTCGGTATTATTTTATTTCACACGCATAGCCAAAAACTTGGGTATCGCTACTGCTTCTATTGAGCAGCATAATTATGTGGATCAGACTTTGGAATTTGTTCCAAATACTGACATTAATCGTAATTTAAATTAGTTCGTAAGACAACAGAGGAGCTCTCTAGCTAGGGCTGCCATCTGTCCGGGTTTCCCCGGATTTGTCCTAGTTTACGGGGCGTCCGGGGAGCGTCCGGGCGGGGTTTTATTTGTAGTCCGGGTTTAAAAATTGACGGCAACGCATGAGTGGCCCTTGGTGCTGCAAGTGTCCGTGGGCAGCAGTGACCACTTATTATGAGGTAGACCTCTAGCTCTTTTGCCTAGATCAACATAAAAAAGTTGATTTGTGACATTTTTATAACAGATTTTTTATTGGTCTGTCCGGGTTCTGGGCTTCAAAATCCAGGGTTATCACGCGTCTTATCCTGGTTGCCACATTTTAGAGATGGCAGCCCTATCTCTAGCTATGCCATGACCAAGGAAAAGTCTAAATATCCAAATATTGTTCACCAAAATATACAAGGCTTTTCTGGTAAATACCTAGAACAGTGCTTATTTTTAAATGCAATAAATATTAGCATATTATGTGTTACAGAGCACTGGCTCAGAGATTATGAATTAGTTACGGGTTTAGATAATTATACAGTTGTTAGTAGTTTTTGTAGGAAATCGGCTATCAGGGGAGGCTCTCTCATAATCTTACAGAAAGATCTTAAATATAAAGAACGTGCAGATATTGTGGCACTTTCAGTTGAACGTAACATCGAACTATCTTGTGTGGAACTTGAAGAAATGATCATAATATGTGTGTATTGAACCCCATCTGGAAATTACACCCAATTTGAGTCCGCTATGGAAGACGCTTTCAATATAGTGTGTAGATGTAATAAAGTAGTTGTTGTGAGTGGTGATTTTAATATAAACACTTTAGCTAATTGTCCATTAGTGAATAGGTTTCTAAAGTTATTTAAATCATATAAATAATAATATTTTTTGTATGAATATTTATTTAATTTAATTCAAGATGAATTTAATAAAATTTTCAAACGCAAATTAATTAAATGCCATAGCTCTAAAAAGAAATTTAGTGATTGGCCCCACACCTAGTATTTACAAAATAAGAAATAAGTTGTATCAATTATATGCTCTCAAGGCAACCTCATCTGATCCGAAGTTTATAGAATATGTCAAAAACTATTCAAAAACTTTTAAAAAGGTGTGTGCCATAGCAAAAGCTAAGTTTTTATCTAAAAAAATAGTCAATCAGTTAATAAAATAAAGACAACTTGGAATATAATTAGTAATGAAACTGGAAAAAGTAAATTTAATGTACACACATATTCTTTAAAAATAGACAACAAGATTGTTCGGACAGATGATGCCATTGCCAACACTTGAAAATTTATTTTCTAGTGCAGCATTTGAAACATCTAGAAATCTTAATTCTTGTTCTAGGTTAGCAATGACCCTCCTTGAGTCAACTGTTGATAAGTGCAGTTATAAAAAAAACCACGCGGACCAGGCAGCGGACGGGACTCGAACCCGCACCCTTCGCAATCCGGGCGAATGCACTGACCAATTATGCTAC